GTGGTGGTCCTGACACCAAGACAATATATAGACAATACCATTATTCCAGCTCTATGGAAATTACTTGGTTTTCCTGGTCTGTAACCTCTTCCCCATATGGCACTGCCGAGGTTATCCTTAGAGGTGTGTGGGGAAACACTGCACAAAGACAACAAAGCAGGTGATTCATCAGAGGAGTAAAACAGGAGGAAGTTATTCTTATCAAATTAGAACAGCCACGATTAGGAGGCCTTATAAGTGTCAGACAAAGCATCACTAAGCCCTAAACACATCATTCCACTTAACTGGGAGCACTGTACAGCTACAGCTTTTCTCTTCCAAAAAACCAAACCTTCCTCATGGCAAGTCAGAGAAAGGTAATTCCTACTTTTGTCCCCTTAAAGCTGCCACAGAAAGTATGCACTTCACTTGGTCATCAGTTTCAGAGAACACCACCAAGGACTTTTTATAATCTAAATTTGAGTTTAAAAGGTTGTTTGGTTTTTTTTTTTCCTATCACCTCTTAAAGTTTTCAGCTTTGTAGCTCACCTGGACAGTTTGGGGGTTTTGGTGCTGGGAAGGTGTCCTAATTCTGACATGATAGCACAGAGATTGGGTGATGCAAGGTTTGCATAGATTGTTCGTCCCCTCCCCAGCCCAAAGAACATTAAGAGGAAGAAGTCACAGCTTAGGAGTTTCTGGCATTTATGAAAAACATACAATCAGGAGGAAAAAAAAAATTGCATTTACAGAGGCTTCTCGTACATCCCCAGGTAAGGGGGAAGTGGGGAACAAGAGACATACAGCACAAGTCGTGGCTATTTCACAAAGCTCCATTGTCTTAAATGAAGTTTATTACAGACCCCCGTGAAAGTATTCACCAATCCATACACTTCTGCACCTTTGTCCAGGTTGTTGTTGTTCTAGAGTGGTTAAGTGTCTTTATTTTAAAAAAGTTTATTTTTACATTATTGCTGTGTTTTACAACAAAATTAAAGACCATTTTTAGGATACACCCAGCAACAAAAAGTCAGTTTCCCCAGAACAAGCCAAAAGCATAAAAGCATGTTCTGAAGGGGCCTTTACTATACCAGCTATTTAACGAGCAAGGAAAAAAAGAATCTATCACTTCTGTTCCTAGTGTAGATGAATTTATTCCATTTTTCAGAAGGCAAATCCTTTCAAATAAATATCAGAATAACTTCTGAGATGCTGAAAGTTCCAGAGATACAAGCAGCAGGTCTGTGCAATTTCTCCTGGAGTCCCCATGCTGCCCCTTGTTTCAGTCCAGTGAGATGATATCGGGAGCGTTGCCTCCACTGCTGGTTATCACTCCCGTCTCACTCCTGCTCGAGGAGCTAACGTGCGTGCTGCTTTCGTGGTGACTGGTTGATGTGATGATGCTGCCAGGCGTGCTGCTTGTTAAGGTTGAGGTGAGACTATCCAAAAACATAGGAGGACAGTACTGCTTGAAACAAACAATGAAGAATGAAGAGACTAACTGCACAAGGGAAATGTATGCTCTGAAGATACATCTTCCCTACAACAATCACAAAACACAGTACCAGCAGATCCTCATTAACACATGCACAGCAAGAACAGTTTTGCAAACCAGTGAGTAAGCAAGTAGAGATGGTAGCCACAAGCCTTTCTCCCTCATCCTCACCATTATTTTTATTTTTCTTACTAACTGGTTAGCTTGAGCATTTACTAGCGCATTAAAAAACAGTCACGACCACATGATGATCACAAAAAAAAGTTAGTAGTTGGAGAGTGTTTATTGCCCATGGTTACTGGGCACAACTGCATATTTCAGGCTCCTTTCATCACAAAAAGTAGCAGAATGCTTTTTGCTACCTCAATGGAGGTTCAAATAATTGTATTCCCTTATGGCAGCAGCTCTGCTAATCAACATTTTCACAATATATAGATGCAGTGATATATGCAGCTCTCTAAACATTTTAGCAGTGATAAATGAGCCCTGATCAAGTCTGATATTAATAAAAATTACTGAATTGATTTATAGTTACTGAATTGACTTAAATTTCCTGAAGGGGAAGACAAGCCTTCTCAAAGCAGAACTAAACTTTCTACAAATTTAGAAACAGAACAAGGTTGCCAGGTGTCAAAGAAGAGAGAATATAAGACAACCCCACATGCGTGTGCGCACACACACGTTGTTCAACGCATTTTACTTTCTCTTACCCTGTGGATTCCAGTCTCAGACATATGTTTGGAACTGAGCCTGAACTGTTTGAACTGTCCAAAGTGGACACATCAGAGCAGCATGCCTGCTTGCAGTCTCCCACATAAACTTCTATTATTACCACTTTTGGCCAGTTCAGATCTCAAGGTCAGGCACAGAATATTGCAAGATGCAATAAGTGGAAAGAAAAGGAGGAAGTTCATCCTTTGTTTTTAAGGCACTAGGAAATCAACTCTATTACAGAGTCCTACTACTCTTGTCTGCTAGTGACAAAGAAATGAAACAGAGGGTCTGCTTCAGATCCTCTTAGTTAGGAAGCCAGTCTTCCCCCCACACTTCAAGGCTTTAGTATGTCTCTATCAGAATCTAGTTCCAGTAAGAATCATTCTGCCTGTGTCAAGTTTAAGTTTCCAGGGAAGGAAAAGCACCACCTGGTTACTTTTGACCTACAAAGTTGCCATATAATCCAAAACCAGACGGTTTTAGGTGTTACATGGAGGGATTTACTATAAAAGCGTTCTTCAGTCTTGTGCCCATGAAATTAATTAAGATATTTTCTTTAAAACTTAATCTCCTAAACCAACAGAAACAGTGAAGTATATTTATAGATGACAGCATCCTGATAGTTACCCAAGCAGTATGTCACAAAAACCAAGTTTAGAAATTAACCCCATAACAGTTCAGAAACATACCTGGGAATCAACTGGGATTAGTGAAAGAAAATCCAGACCTAGAAAGAAGAGAAGGATAATAAATTGATGCATCTTTCTTTTATTCATACACAACAAATGTAAGGAACTTTTTTGTGGTCATAGAACAGATTTTTGTAATTGTTAGAGTTTCTAAATGGAATATACCACTGTGACACCACTCTCAACGACTATTTCAGGCAGCAGAGAAACGAGTTAGAGTACAAGTGGCTCTTTTTAAGAATGAGAATGACAGAATGATGTATTATAATTCACCGGATATTGCAGGGTGGTTCAATGTGGTTGCTTAGATGGAGGTTGCCATTTGGAGCTGTTGGTTCATAATGCAAGTTTCACTGCATATTGTACCTGACTTGGCCAAACTGGGACATGAAGAGTGTCATCACATTAAAGATGCTGGAATGAAGTAAAGTCACAACATGCACAAGTCCAAAAACAAGCAGCAGGTCTCTTCCTCCACCCACGGGCAGCCAATAAGGAAACATTTCTAATATCATCCCCGTTTTGTGTCTAGACAAATAAAAGGAACGAAGAAGAGGAAACTACAAGTAGTTCGATGTATATCCTCTAAGAGCAGTGACAACTAGCGTCCACCTTATACACCATTAGCGTGTAAGCATTTAGGGTAAGATGTTTAAAACTATGAAACCAATGAGAAATTACAGCCTTTTTTTTGTTTTGTTTCTAAATATTGGCCTTGTGTTTGCTATGTCAACATAAAGAAATGGTAAACTTCCTCCCTCCCTCTCCCCTCACCTCCAAATCTGTGCTGGCCAGTGGCATCTCTCCTTTTCTTCTCCATAGAGAAAAATTTTGAAGGAGATTTAAGCTCAGCTGCTTTTACAGAATTTACAGCTTCTTTTCCTTTTGGCACATTTCTAGAATTTCAGTTGATAGAGATGAACAAAACAGTTCTAGACTTGTGTTCTCTCAGCTTACTCTCCTATCCAATTTGGGAAGACAACTGATTTCTTAACAAGGGAGAAGTGGAGGGAGGGAGCAGTAAGGGAACCAAAATGGACAGAGAAAACAAGGGGAATGATATCCATCCCATTGCCAAACTGGTGCTGAAAGAAGAGGAAAAAACCCAGAGATGTTGCAGGGGAGAAATGGAGACAGGCAATGGAGAGGGGAAAGGGAAGTATAGGAGGCCAGTGTGACACCTGTCACCAACAAATCACCATTTCCTGGGCTCTGGGTTCATTACAGCTGGCAAAGAGAACCCCCAGAGTCTCTCTATACAGTTTTCTTTTCAAGGAGCCAGGATAGAAAACAATCAGTATCCCCACCTTTTGTCTGATATTTAGCAGCAGTGTTGAAGAATACATCATAGGCATTTAGGGTATGTCTAGGTAAAGAAAGTCAATAGAGGTCAGCTTACAGATTGTAGCTCACCTTAACCTTTTTTTCATACAGTCTAGACAGAGCACCACTAGAATCAGTTAGCAGAATATTTCTACATCTAGGGTTGGGATGAGTCAGTGCCATCACATATCTATAACTTAAGTCAGCAGCTGCTCTCCCTCACATCTACAATACGTAACAACCAGACATTTACACTAAGTCTAACTGTAATATAGCAAGAAGTGTTTCTGGCTGCCGTCCCAATTTGAGGGTGTACCCCAGAAGCAAATGTTTTTCACATCCCTGTTGGGAAGTGCAATCTGAAACTGGAAAGACAGCCTGTACTAGACTTGTCTAGACATCACATCAGTGCAATACTGCATATAGTCTTCTTCCATTAAGAAAATGTTGATCAATTCTCTAATTATTACCCACCCCGCAAATTAATAAGTTTGTCAGAATACACATTAAAAACAGCCACCACCTACCTGGCAAGTCTGATGAAATACTGGATATTGGTGGGTGATGGAATGGTACTGGGTAGTCTGTTAACGAAGGAGGAATAGCAGCAGCATCGACCGTTGTCACACTGGGCACTCTGACAGAAGATGGCTGATACATGAGAACCCTGTTTTAAACAGCACAGGAAATTACAAACAACCTGGCCGTTAGTTACAGAAGAGAAATGACGTGCCGCTGTATACTCTCATTCACAAGGCAACTATGTTAAAACACAGCTACAGCGTGGCTACTCACTACACAGTATTCCATTCTAATTTCTTCTTTCGTAACAGTCTTCGTAATAACATGACCATATCATGGCTCTCAACAGCAGCTGTGACGTAAGAGCAAGTTGGCATTAAAACAGACGACAGTGCTGGGGTCTTTTATAACAGTCTACCGTTCGGAGACAGACATGAGTGACACTGTGGAGCACCCTGGGAGGGATGTGCAGGTAGCCAGAGCCAGGAGCAGAGCACTCATTTTAATTTCTCCTCATAATCATTCCTCACGCTAACCTATCACACCAAGGGCATGACTGACCATTATTTAGCCCCTGGAGCACATATTACACACATGGGAGTTAAATATCAAACCCACTTTACTCACAGCCTGAATCCAAGCTACGTTCAGCTCTCTAGGAGCATGCACACAACCGGTTAAAACTCCTCTGCACCCCCACCATCTGCCTGATTACTTCATAGCACTGTTAAAGATGACACCACAGGCACCAGCAACAGGCATAAAATCTTTCATAAACTCCACGGCAGGTGAAAACACTAGAAGTCCTGTGCCCCAGCTGCTCTGAATCCCTCCCTCCCTTCGGCCCACCAGCCATGAGTTATCCACTCATGTCTTCCTCCCCAGAGATGCATTTATGCTACTGATTTTGGAAGCTTGGATTTCAGACCCTCCCTTCTCAAGCACCTCTTACACTTCAGCCTATAGGAAGACACCCCATAGTTTTGTCAAAATTAGCATTCAGACAACACTGTTTAGAGGAGATAAGCAATTCCGCAAAAGCCTGGCTTTGACTTGGATTTAAAGAAGGAAAACACTCAATTTCCATATCCAAACAGTAAGGAAAATACATTGATGACACATACACAAGAACACTCAGTCCTTCTACAATTCTGGTTGCAAGTAGCCATCTCAGACAAACACAAAGGCACAGAAGGAAGTCTTGGTGCCTTCTGAAACTTCATTAAGAGATGCATTTGTAGCTATTTTTTTCTTATAAGAGTAAGAAAAAGTCTCTTGTAAGAGGACTCCTCCACAGTCCTCACCACAAGCAACAACATTTCAGTATCACTGCTGAAAGCTGATGAAGATGACCAACTATTTGCTCAAAGACCACACACACATTACTTCAAGAGCTGACAAAACAGAAGGGGTTTGTTCTTATTCTTACTTTAGTACAAGACATAAGCCACTACACTGAGAGACCGACACACACCTCATGCATGCAGCAACACTAAGAAATAAACCATTACTAAAAGCTGACAGTTGGAATTGTCTTGTGGAGCGGTGAGCCTAACCAGTGCCCCTCTCTCCCTGCAGGTCTCCTGCGCCCAACAGGCCAAGAGCAGGAACTTTACGGACACCACAAACAGTAACAACAGCAGAGTCACATGGATTGGGACAGACAGAAGGCAGCACAACAGTAAAGAACCTGGTTAAACCTGTTTGCTGAACTCAGACACAACTACAAAGATGGAGCTGTTGACAGAGGACTCCGGGAGTTGTTCATTGTGTTAACCAAAGTACAGGACTGACTGATAACCACGGCCAACAACAGTGTCCAAAGACATTTTAACAGAGAGATGGAGGAAAAGCTTGTCTCATTTCAGAACAGCAAAGCAAGATCCAAGATTGACAGGATGGATGAAACACACAATACAGCCTAGTTTCCTGGGCACTGGAGCAGATTCGATAAAGGCTTTCTCTCACAGTTACACCCTTCAAGATGACACTAACTTAGCAAGATTTCATAAAGCTCCTCCACTTGGCATAATCTGCTTTTTCAGGAGAATCCTGTCCACTAGTTCAATCAGCTTCCTTTTCTATGGAGAAATATCCCTATAAACACAGCAACAGTCAGCGCAAAGTCTTTTGTGAGATGTCAAACTATTTAATAGTGTTTTGCCTGTACAAAGGTATGGTATCAATACAACCTTCTGCAAGGAGAAATCTAGAAATTCTCCTCTGGAAGTGTGGAGCTGGATCCCAAAGAGAGAGATTACAAGTCCATTTGTCTACACATCAGTTTATCTGAGACATTACAGAATAACAACTTTAAAATTGACAAACCCTTTGTTTGGATTTCGTTGTGTTTCAGACATAAATATGCACTTCCTTTTGACAGGAGGATCTTCCTCTTCATCAGAAGAGCTTTCTATCGTCAAGTCAATCACATCAACTTTCTTCTTGGTTACCTCATTGGCCACCGTGACAGAACACAGTTTGCTAACGACAGTGGAACCTACACAAGAAAAATGAAATATCACTGGTTTTTAAAGGCTGTTGACATCAGCAGTTTCTATTTGCAACAGAACCAGAAATCCTGTTTTAGCTCATCTTCCTGGACACTACAAGGAATGGTATGGCCCAGGAACTATTTTATTAGTATTCTCTATCATGTTGAGAATATTAAAGCATAAGTTTAATCTCCACTTACCCATTTAAGGATTTAAAACAAGAGCAACTTTTAATTTTCTTAACCACTATTATAAAGAGCAAAGACAAAACCCCAAAATACACACTTTTAGGGATACAACCCTCTCTTTTGAGTTTAAATGACAAGAAGGTTAGAAGTATTAAGCCCTCCACAAAACAAACAACATCTGTACACATTATCCAAGCTACAAATAAGTCTTCAAGACTTTTTGTTGGTTTGCAACCAGTACCCAGATGTACATACTTTCTATTTTGGTGCACTGAGGATTTGATACTTTCACAGCTTCTTTCTTTGGCCTCATGGGGCACCAAGAGCCATCTTCTTGGAATTTGATCTCATCCACATCTGAACATTCATTAAGGATTTCCATGAAGAGTCTGAAAAATAAAATTGAGTGGTTTCATTTTTGATTCCAAGTTAAATTTTTTATTCCAAGTGAAAAGGAGACACAGTTGAAAAGCTAATTATGATCACCTTCGACCCACTGTATGTACTTTCTACCTAGTTCATCTTACCCAGAAGTCTAATGACAGCCTTTGCAGACATCCAGACATTGAAACCTAAACGAATACCCCAACCTATTCCACTCCAACATTACTGCAATTCATAGACTTTCATACAGAAGCAGAAATCATCCTTTAAATCAAGTTTGACACTTGTTTATGAGTTTAAAATTTAAGTTAATAGCTTCAGAGATAGGGTCATGTAAAAGGGAGACCTATCCTTAGATATCACATTTTGATTTCTCCAGAGGAGATATGCTAAGTACTTTGACAAAAAAAATAGTAAGAAATGGCTAAACCACAAGTCATAAAAGTAGCTATCAAGTACATAACGAAAAATTTTAAATAAAAGTAAACCGCAAAGCCAGTGTCTTACCCATCTAATATTAGGCTCTCATAAGCTGCCTTTTTGTCACAGACAGGGCAGATCCAGGTAGGCTTCTTCTCATTCATTTGAAGATAAAGAGCAGCATCGAAACATTGCAGGTGTGTGCAAGTAACAGCTCGGCATGGGATTGTCAGTCTCATTTTCCCCAGCTGCAGGAGATGTTAACAGCAGACAGTGAAGTGGGCCTGGATAACTAACAATGACATCAGAGGCAGGTGCTGAAGTAACCGTTTCTTCTCACTACAGAGGTGCCCAGTGCTAGGGTCACCGCAGGCAAATCCACCCTATCAAAGTGCATACAGGGCACTTGGAGGAACAATAAAGGCATCCTCACTGAATTAAAAACAGACAGAAACATTTCTAATGGACCTGCAGTGTTATTTCTAGGATTTTATTTTTATTAAAAGACCTGAGACACCAGCTTTTATAATTTTCTTTTTGCCAAATATTTCAAGGGGTTTTGTGAACTCCAGTTCTGTTAGATTTGGAATGGTGTTACCTTGTTACACAGTGATCAAGTTTTTTGTTTGTTATAGTAGCCAGCAGTATAAGCAATGCCACCAAGATGAGGAGATACAAAGTTTTATTTATCACTATTTATCATTTATACAGTGATAAATATTCTGTCACCGTGCCCAATTAGTGTTAACGCTTCAATATATGAGATTACTCTTTCTGAAGACCTCACTGTACACACAGAGTAGCACTAAAGATGAACACAGAAATCTGTGTATCGTCATTTCCAGACATACTTACGGGACACATCAGAGATACCCGTAGACTGGTTGTGGCAATCTCACTGTCAGGATCTGCAGTTAGTTTTTCTTTAACTATGAAAATAAATTAAGAAATCACACACAGACACCATTATTTAAAAAAAAAAAAACTAATCTTGATTAGCCAGTACATGTACTTTATTTCCAACTATCTAAAAAAAATTAAGCATCTAGGAAACTAGTCTGTCACTAGCTGGGATCTCTAGGTGTCAGGGACCCTCACTGAAAGTGTGCATGATGCCTCAGCAACAGCAAAGGGAACCTTTGATTCTCTACGTATCTGTCTTTTTTTTTTAAATGCTGCAAATCCCCCAAATATTACCAGTTCTAGTTTTAAAGAGCCACCAACCACCCTCAAAGTACAGACAGGCAAATTAACTGGACTTACTTAGTGCTCTGGAATGATCGGGGTTTCTGATCCCTTTCATTTTTAACCTCTGCAAAAGCATAGCTGAAGTGAGCTGACGAACGAGATACACAGACATGGAGTAATTCTACAAAAAGAGCGAATAAAAGATTAAATAATGATTTCATACAGTACTTCCCCTATGACAACAGATTACTATTTACAGGAGTTGCAGCATACCCTAAAAAACAAAAACATGCTAATTTTTTGCTTAATAGTTACAAAAAACATTGACAGGTGAATTCATTCTTTTGAAAGAGTCCAATATTCAGCCAGAATTCTCCTGACAATCAAGTCCAATTGTCCTACTCCAGTTGTGACTTAACTAAGAAGAATAACTCTACAACCAAGAGACAATCTGGGCTCTTCTTGGAAAGAGGATTTAGACTGGTGGCACACCTTGTTATAAGTTCAGTCTTATGTTTGTCTCTTAAATCCTTCCCTTTTTTTCAGTGTCAGTCTGTGAGTGGGGCACTCAGAGACAATCATGTGCCAAAAGAAGAGATAAATGCTCCTTCAGGTGCAAACACAACACCTTCAAGTGGCACACAGCCGCACCAATTCCTTTGTACCTTCTCTTTAGCTTGCTCTGCACTTTAAAGCCAAGCCTCATTACACCAGATCCACTCCTCTGAGGCTCACCACATTCCCCAGTGCTCACCACTATTCCCTAATTCACGCCACTTGCCAGCTTCTTTTGTTCAGTTTTCATTTTCTCTTCAAGGTCACTAATGAAGAGAAAAATTCTGCAAGGCCCACAACTGCAGAATAATAATGGCTTCATCTGCATAACGCACACAACCTACAATCTCTTTATTTCCACTCCCTGCCAGCCACCTTCTGAGGCTCCTATACTATCAGGGTACTGCACAAGAATTTTAAACATCTCCTACTGCTCTGGTCCTCCTTTACCACTTAGAGGAAAATGAACTCTTACCTATATGAGCAAAGTTATCCAAATGCATTAAAAGCCACTAAGAAAAACTGATTTTTTTTTTTTTTTTAAAGAATGACCATACATTGCACTGTTTATTGGCTACAGAATGAATTATATAGGCGCAAGCCTGACCAGCTCTGTGGGATTAATGCCTCCTTTGCTCAGAAGCCCTCCACGATCAGTCAAGTACACGCCAATAAAATCTTACTATGTGAGCCCGCTGACACTCCACACTGTCCCCAAGGCTCTCATTCAGAGGATAAAGAGAGAGCTCCTATGCAAATTCTTGGAGCAGAACACCAACATTTAAACCAAAGAACTCACATAACTCTCAGAGAAAAGAGGAATGATGGGACAACCTCCAATTCATCTGCTTCCACGAGAGTATGTTTTGGCAGATATGGGGCGGGAAGGTCAGCAGGAGAGGCCAAGACCACACACAAACACTGCAGTCGTTTCAAAAGTTTTGCGCTTTATGAATGGGAAGCAACAGCTTGGATCTTTCCCTCCACCTCTGTTTTAGAAAACTTTACTGTCAGCACTGCCCTTCATTTATTTTCTGAACTTCAATTTCTTTTTTAAATTTTAATTGGTCTATTAAAGCTAATACTGGAGCCACACTTCTAAACATGTGGAACCTCAGGTCCACAGATTTTGATTTTGAAGAAAAAAAAAAAGAGGTAAGCTACTTTAATAATTGAATCCAGAAGGATTTACACAACTAGTCACAGATAGAGGAATAAGTTGACTTACCAACAGCTGAAAGGACTGCTGCAAAAGCTATTTAAACCTAAGAAGAATTCAGAAGTTCCTCACACTCTCCCCTTCTTTCCTTAGTAAATCCACAGAGGGATTTCTAAACAGCCATGCAGACATTTTAAAGGCTATTTTTATATTTACATATTCCTTTTAAACTTGGATTAATGACTACTGGCACCAGAAAGCAACAATTTTAGTCACCATCCCCTTTATCTCCTGCTACCTGAAGTCTAGCATGCTTTTCCCCCATTGCAGTTTTCCATGAAGTTTAGAATTGCATTCTGAAGAGACTTCAATTTTTTTTTTCTTTCCCCCCCGCCCCTTCCCCTAGCTCTCCATCCTTTCCTTCATCAAGTTAGTTCTCCTTCAAGTCACCCAAGCTTCCAGGAATACTCTTCATTTGTAATAAAAACCCCACTGCTCAGATATCCTACATTACAAATCACACACACACACACAAGTACGGTCTGGACAAGCACAGTTGGGACCCATCAAGCCCGGAAAGAGCTGACACCAGCAGCCTGACACCTCCCCAGTAAACCTCCCAGCAACCTGCCATCTAAGAGCTTCCTGAGCTGGAAATTTCACCCCTGTTTTAGTTTATTTACAAGTGTGGCTTTAAATTAACTCAGAGAGGACATTTTTGTGTAATAAAGGAACCTCAAAAGAACAAAGATGGAAATATCCATTAACCAGTCCTTCCTATGAAATAAAAACTGCTTTTGTAAAATTACTTCGTATTACTTTGTTAGAAAATGCAAAAACTTCAAAAGCAAGTGCCTATCTCCACCCCCATGGCCTTGGCACATCTGGTCAGTTTAAAAAGCTTTTCCTAATGGACAGTTACAATAAATACTGAGAAACATACCTTAGAACACATGGCTACATAATTTCATATTCCCACATCATCAGGTTTCAAGAAAGAAAGGAGGCTTTGCTTTTGTTTTTATCATGTTTGAGCTACTTTGTAACATTTACACCCCAAAAAGATTTTTTTATATTTTTGACACACATTTCAGGCAACCCCTGATGGCAGGTTTCCTAATATAAACTCTATAAGGAAGTCTTTGCAATCTGTATGCAAGTTTTCTCTATGTTACTGTAAACTCTCACACCTCTAGAGCAAAACTTTGTTTCCTGCACGGATAATAAGTTCAGCCACTTAATACTAAACACTTGCTGGTGTATGCCTTGCCAGCAACATAAGGCAGTGGGGGAGAAGGAATGCTAGATGAGGTGATTTTGACAGCTTTATGCATCCTACAGAACATACAGTTTACCTTTCCGATTTCAGAAGCCCAGGAAATGGAAATCTGGTTTGGCACCGCTGATGACAACCTAACTAGAGATGTGATATTCAAGGGGCGCCCAGGTCGCTTCTGTTCAATTCCATTTTTTGGAGGTGGAGCGTACCCCTATGGGAAGAAAAGAAAGTGTTACCAAGTCTCCCCACTGTACTTTAAAACCTGCTGAAACAGACTTGTTAGTTTTAAAGAAATCTATAGTAAGCAAGTAAACCTAGAGGGTCTGTAGGCTGGAGACTAAAGTTAACGCTCTGAGAAATATCAGTCTTTGACAGTCCAATAGCATAAGCCATCCACAATTCAGTATTTTTGGTTTTAAAATGGTTTTACAGAAGTGCTGAGAAGGTGGAAAAGAACACAGTTTTGGTCCAGGTAAGTTCACTGGAAGAGTAAAAAGCAACATTGATGCTTTGTCCTCTTTTGCACCCCCCCCCATCCCACTGAAAAAGAATAAAACATCGCAAGGATACAGCCTTAATGACACACACAGCACGTCCTAAAGAGTTAATTCAGTGTTTCACACACAGAAAACACTTCACTGATTATTTTTAAGAAACAAAGTCTTGTTCCAAGAGCTTCACATTTTCATGTCCGCTTTGCCTGCATCAACTACACCTAGCCCTAACAGCAACAGGTTGTCACCTGTACTCTGCCAAGGCCCCTGAAGAAGATCTACAGATGGAATATCAGCTCTATTTAAGATAGAAATATAAGAAAAAAAATAGGCTTTGCTGTTGTCTGCAGAAACAAAATAAACCAGATATTGTTTGCTTAGCTTTGAAGAAGAATTTCATAACCTGGACAGCTTCTCTCTGTAGAGTGTGTGCTTGCTTAGAAGCAAAAGACAGGATGGCTCTTGATTCAATTCAAACACGTCATATAGAAAATAAAACTACAGAGAGCAGCTGTGTGCTCCTTCCCACAGCACAAGTACCGAGCAGACAGTACTTGTGCTACGCAAAGGAGCACACAGCCTAACTGCAGCTTATTCATCTCACCCTGCGCCTGTCACTGTGAAAGCAAAACACTAACAGAACTCAAAGAATCTCTTTTGAGCTCACACAGCCAGCCTGCAGTCCACTCATCTCAAAAATTCATCCTACACCAGAAGGATGCCAAGAAAAGATTGCAGCCCTATGTCTTGTATAGGCCTGACTGCCAGATTTCATGTAGTTCAAGACAGTGTTGTTCCATAAAAGAATGTTCCCAGAAAGGATATGCTGAAAATGACCCCACGCATACATTGTTTTACCCAGAGAAACACACATTCACAGCCTAGTGCTTGGGAAAAAAAGTGTTACTTTGAAAGATGCTAAGTCTGAAAATAAAAAACAGAAATAAACAGTCTCTTCCACTCACCAGCCAAGTATACCACAGGACATATTTCCCCTTTTTTTTTTTTAAAAAAAGAGACATTCTGCAGTGCACATGCTTCATTTCAGTCAAGCTTTTGATGTTTTCTTCCATGCAGGAATGACCTTGAGATCAAATTCAATCTAAAACCCTACCTTCCTAGCCTTCCAGTACTCGGGTAAAGAGCATTCTGCATGTCTATCACAACCAGCATGTTCTAGCACTGTTTAGTTAAGCTGCTAAGTCTAGTGGCTAGCAAGTGCCAAAATTATTTGGGTCTGCAAAGCTTCTATGCTTCTTTCAAAAATCATATTAGTCAAAGTAGGCAGAATCTGCCAGAGCCAGAAAAAAATCTATCAACAGAAAGAGTGATTGCTCTTCTATGTGGCTATTTCCAACCTGCCCTGATATATTTGATTTTCTCCTTCAAAGGATGAAGTCCCCTGGGAAGTTTTTTTGGGATTCGCATTTTGTCTTGCCTGCAAGAGAACTCAACAGGAAAACCACCTGCCGTAGTGCATTATGTATAATATCCTTTGTCTAGCCAAGACACCAGCAGGGAAGGCTCTACATTTACTCTGACACTAGGAGGAGGACACAGATAGCTGGGGGAATACAAGAAAACACCGTGTTAACATGAGCTGGCACAACTTGAAGCAGTGCTGGCACCCTGGCCGTATTCCTCTGAAGTTTCTGGTAAGGATTGCAGCCAAGGAGATGACCAAGAATAATTCACAGACATCTGCAGAGGCATGAACTGCCACACCAGAGAAAGACAGAACAGTACTCAAGAATTGTCCAAGTTGGCAATAATCACTGATTAATTACCTAACACCAACACTACTGGCTTGGACAACAGTGGTCTTTGAGGCAAATAAGTTGTCTTACATTTCCTGCAATAGAAAGGAACCACCAGAGGGATGCAGGCAGTGACCAAATCAACAAAAAAAAATGTTTGCAGGAGCACTCAGACTGACATTACTGGAGACCTCATTGCAGCCTTCCAGTACTTGATGGGAGCCTATAAAACAGGAGGGGGAGTGACTATTTACAGGGGTTGATAGTCCTGCACGTGGGTCGAGGCAATCCCAAGCACAAATACAGGCTGGGTGGAGAATGGATAGAGAGCAGCTCTGAGGAGAAGCACTTGGGGGTATTTGTAGATGAGAAGCTGAACATGAGCTGGCAGTGTGCGCTTGCAGCCCAGAAACCAACCGTGTCCTGGGGGCATCAAAAGAAGCACTAGCAGCAGGTCGAAGGAGGTGATTCTCCCCCTCTACTCTGCTCTTGTGAGACTCCACCTTGAGTACTGTGTTCAGATGTGGGGCCCCCAACATAAAAAAGACCTGGACCTGTTGGAGAGAGTCCAGAGGAGAGCCACAAAATTAATCAGAGGGCTGGAGCACCTCCCCTATGAGGACAGGCTGAAAGAGTTGGGGTTGGTCAGCCTGGAGAAGGCTCCTAGGAGACATAATAGCAGCCTTCCAGTACCTGAAGGGGGCTACAGGAGAGATGGGGAGGCACTCTTCATCAGGGAGTGTGGTGATAGGACAAGGAGTAATGGGTATAAGCTGAAAGAGGGTAAATTTAGACTAGACATTAGGAAGAAATTTTTCACTATGAGGGTGGTGAGGCAGTGGCCCAGGTTGCCCAGGGAAGTTGTGGATGCCCCATCCCTGGAGGGGTTCAAGACCAGGCTGGGTGAGGGTAACCTGGTCTAGTGGAAGGTGTCCCTGCCTATGGCAGGGGGTTGGAACTTGATGATCTTTGAGGTCCTTTCCAGCCCAGGCCATTCTATGATTCTATGATTATATTTGTCATTCAGCTCTTACTGGAGGAGGCAAGGAAGTTGCCAAGACAATCATCATTTATTCACTTTCTAACCTAAAGTTTTTGCTGAACTCATTAAAGAATCATCTTATTGTGTGCAGGAAGAACATACAGGATTGGGATTTAAAGCAAAGCAATAATCAAAGATTACAAAAAGATTTTGCTACAACTGTGGCATATGTTATGCACAAAATGGATAGCATAACACAGCACAGCAGGGCCTAAACTATGTTAGCAAGACTGAGACTAGCAGACATTGATTTTGTCAGGATAACATCAGACCCAATTCTTTTTGGTGGGTTACTTAAAGAAACAAAAACAATATGCAGAAGGAGAAAATCAAAATCCTCAAGTTTATCACAGAGAACATAACAGGCATTTGCAGAAAATACTGACCAGAAAACACATGAATGAAATCCTCTTACACACTGAAAATACACAGAAGAACAGTGATGCAATGGTTAAAGAAGTAGGGGTAAGAGAACCTAGAGAGTCCCATTTAAGCTGAGTAGAGGCAAAAAAAAGCAGTCATGGTCACATATGGAAGGAGGGAGGGTACAGGATGGCACACCAAAAAGGTGACAAACATTCTGAAGAAGAGGTTTCACACCTCCTCTCTCCACACAGTTTTACAAACCCACTGCTGAAAAAACCTCTGTACTACTATTTTTTTCCATCTTCTATAGATTCCAGATCTATTTCAGAATGGGTTTCATAAGAGTTTATCTCTGTTCTATTATACAGAGATACTAATTCCAGAGATTTTTCAAGAATAATGAGGGCTTTTCCCCTTCTGTATATATTTAAGCCTTGAGGTGACCCTGCCTACGTACAAACTTTTGCAACATCAGACACCAGTAAATCACATTACTGCCAACACTGTTCTGTTCCCGTATCAGCAAATGCTGGGAACACTAAAATGTGTCCGTTCTTCATCCCTGCACTGAATTCTGCTCTAACCAGGCAATGTACAAACTTGTACACAGGAAGGTGACACCATTCCCTCATAACAAGAAGGAACTCAAGCCAATCACACATATAGATAGCCCAAATAGCAAGGGCTACTACCAATCAAGTCAAATAAACTCAGTTTGAAGACCTACAAGGAATATTGCCCATGCAGACACCTTTTTTTTTTTAAATGTTTTGTTGTGTTAACTGCAACAGATGAGGTTTGCTATAGCTGACTAAAATACAATTAATCCATGCAGTGGCTGTGAAACGATTAATAGCAGCAATGGTTATCTCACACATCAAACATACAAACTGTATGTCTAACATTAGTGACTAGAGAAATTTGAGTGGTAACAATAAGCAGCTTGGTCATTTCAGGAAGTTAACATTACAGAAAAAACACATGCACACCACAAGTCACAAAGAAGCCACAAACACGTACAAACAAGCTTACCGGCAATGGAAACAGCTTCCCATTTACTTTAATACACAAACTATTAGGGTAATTATCTTCTTGAGGGCAGCTTGTCTCTGCTAGGCATAACCTATATCCCCAAGAAGAGAAAGCATCATTTTCCAAGTGTCACTACATATGTGTCTCCAAAAACATGTAGACTTACATCACTTTAGCCAATTAAGAGATTATAAGATAACGCTGTGAAGGTACCTTAGCTGAACCTGGACTGTGTAATCTCTCCTGCCTCCTGGTAAGAAGTCCCTGCAACAAAGAGAAAGAAAAAAAATCAAGTTAAATATTCATTTAGACACCAGATTTTGTATTCCAGTCAGACGCAGAAAGAACTGGCACATCTGCCCCAACATCACTGAACTTTGCTCTTATTTTTCTTTTATTGAGCTATGAACAAGTCTTATGAGCAACACCTCTGTTTAGCTACTACAAGTTAAGCAGGACTTTAGGATCATCATCTTCTGGCAAGAGTTTATAGTAACAATAAAGTATGATACTGCCAGAGAAGAAAAAACCCTATGAATGCTCTTGGCTTACACCATAGGTCTTGCAGTGACACAAACCCTGGGACAAAAGATAAAAGCAGCCTTCCGTTCCTGCAGCCAGGAAACATGCAGGGAAAAAAAGCTTACCACCTCTCTAAATAGTCACAATTATTTGGAACAGAGTAATTGTTAACTCTTTAATGGTGTAGGATTTACTAAACATAAATTCTGCGCAGTAGTTCCTGAGGAACACAGAACAGATAAACTCAGCATAGTTTTGTTGAGGATTATCACTCCGCATCTGTAAGCATAAGTGATGCATAAAACAAACAAAAAACCCCACATTTTCTCCTGAAATTTTGCAGAAGTGTTTACCTAAACTCTGCCACACTCTTCCTTCTTACCTGGAAATACAGATTTCTCTGACCTGCTGAGGTGTTAAAGCAAAGATAAAAAACTTCTCTTGGAATCTCTGAATACTGCTCTGTACTAGAAAAAACAAAACACAAAAGAGGTTTAACCATCGTGATTAGAGTCATTGATTAAAACAGGATCTGCAATTGAGTTTCTTCCTGGAATAAGGCACAAGTCACAAATCACACAGAGGCTTTCAGCAACCTGGTCTAGTGGAAGGTGTCCCTGCCCACAGCAGGGGGTTGGAACTCAATGATCTTTAAGGTCCTTTCCAACCCAAACCATTCTGTGATTCTATGATTCTAAATTGCAGTTGAACTGCATGTATCTGTCAACAGGAAAGCAATGGAACAAATCCTCCATTCAACTATATTCAGATGGCTTAATATCACATTACACTTCAGCACTAAAGAAGCTTGGCAAGCCGTGTTATAATCCTTTCTCCCAAGTGAGAAAGTTTCAAATAAACACACAACAAAATATAACACTGGATACCTGGGGAAAAAGGAGTACCACAAAGATGTCTGCAACTATTTTAAAGTACTACTAGAAGTCAGGTAGACTTCACGTCTGGGAATTACCCCTCACTAGGATTTGGCAAAAATTAAAAAAAAACCAAACACACACACAAAAAACAGCTTTTATATCAGAATCCTACTTGTCTGTCAGTGATAGGAAGCACTAACATTTCAGTATTAAGGGCTCATGGTATGAACATGTTCTTTCCTTATCTACTTTCCCCAGGTTAGAAATCTTGACCTGAAATAAAGGTAGACTGGACTCGTCCAACAGTTTAAAGTACCTAGCAAGAAGGACAAATGCAAAAATAGTACAATTAAACTAGGCAAATTTGGAGACTAGATTTTGCACACCGCAACATTCAGAGAAGACGATCTCTGCGTCCAGAACACACACAAAAAAGACAAACACAAAACAGAATCCAGGTGGAGCAGACACATACACACACACCAAGTTCCTCAAACAATACAAAACAACTACATTGTGCATACATGTGCGAACACACATACCACAGACAGCATTTTGTATTTCAAACTAATACTAGAGCATGTGTTCAAAAGATCATGGAAATATTTTTTTACTGAATTGGATGTGGGTTAAAACTAAACCCCACACCTACATCTGCTCTTTTATTCTAACATTAGTGCAAAGGAATACCTACAGTCATCCCTTTAAAAGAGTCACAGTGAAGTGTGCTATACTCCTAGGCCTCCAATGTATTTCGTTTCCAAATCCTTAATTCTCAAGCACAAAAAACTTGTTTGTTCCATGTCCCAATCACCCGAGTCTACCTAACTGGGACTATAAGCTACCCATATCAATCTAAAACCATTAAAGAAAGCTTCATTTCCAAATTTGCTCCTGAACCTGTGTTAGAGTGATTTTCAGCCCATGTTCATATCCTTCTAACATCAGAAGGGCTCATTATTTGCACATCAAGCCATTCCCCACAACTCATTTCCCCACTCCTCCTCACACAGATCTGAGTTGTCGCTCTAGCTGCTGCCACCTTCAGGTCCTCCACTCTGGAAAGAGTCTAAAGGCAAGCAAGTACTCAGTTAAATTAACCTTGGAGCCCTTGCCCACATCCTAAGAGGACCCAAATCTTACAAGACTAGATAATCCTCACTCCTAGGAAAACTCGTCAACATGCAACAAAGAGCTTCCGGTCTTCAAAGGAAAGAGGAACTTACATCCAGCTCTAACTATATGGGTGACACCCCTAAGGAAGCATTGTCCTTTCGGGGAAAAAAGGTTAAGCAGGAGTTAGCCAGGACATGGTGGCACCGACAGATTAGAGCTGTCCAACACCACAGCAGCTATTGTACCAATATTAAACATTAATGTTCTACATTAAACTCTGCTCTAACAGGGTGTCACAACACAAACAGAAGTGACAAGAGGCATTATTTACAAAGTGATGCTTGCTATGTTTACTGCTTTAAGTACTCAAAGATGATCAGTCATCAGTATATGCCTCACTGAGGTACACGTCACAACCTAAGAGACTATTATCAGTTAAGAAACTAAAATGTTTAAGAGGATGCAAACAGCTTGCAAAATGCTGAAGTTTCTAACCAATATTACTAAATAGCTTGGTAACATTTTCTACCATGTAAGGTAAGACAGGTTGAATTTCAACACAGAAAACAACTTATTTCCAAATAATTGAATTTGTTTAAGAGTGAGGTATCTGAGGAAGTTAAACCAAGATTTCAGGTTATCTGGAAGACAAAGGACCACTGTACATTTTAACACAGAGCATGGCAACAACTGGCACACTGAGAAACCTTCCCTGAGCTGAGTACAACACTGAATGTTTGTTGAACCAAGATGCCAGAACCTGCAGCATTGTTGAAGTGAGATGTAGGCAACCTAAAGAAGTGAATGTTCTCTCCTTATGCTGTTACAACTTATTAATTGACCCTGAAATACTTTTAATACTGACCCTGAAATCCTTTTCCTGTTGGCCCTGAGAGATGTGTTACTTATTTGTACTGGGCAGAGACTTCAGGTCCAAATCTTTCAGACAAAAGTACCTTCAGGGGAAGTTCAGACTCAGTACTAGAAAACATTTCTTTACAAAAAGGTGGTTAAACATTGAAAGTGGTCAACACACCAAGGCTGTCAGTGCTTAAGAAGCATTTGGACAATGTTTTTAACTATTACTCTTTACCTTTTGGTCAGCCCTGAAGCGGTCAGGCAGTTAAAATTATCATTGCAGATACCTTCCAACTGAACTATTCTACTATATTATTTAGTATTCAAAAGACAAAGATCTTTAATCATATAATATTTACAGATGAGACCACTTTTCTGAACTGTGGGTTAGAACTTTTGGGGACAAGTGGTGAAAAGACAGCAAGAGCAGAAATAAGAACACCTTTCCTATGAGGACAGGCTGAGAGAGTTGGGGTTGCTCAGCCTGGAGAAGAGAAGGCTCTGGGGAGACCTTACTGCACCCTTTCAATGCTTAAAGGGGACCTACAAAAAAAGATGGAGACAGACTTTTTGGTAGGGCCTGTAGCAATAGGACAAGGGGTAATGGTTTTAAACAAAAAGAGGGGAGATTTAGATTACCTAGGAGGAAGAAATGTTTTACATTCAAGGTCAGGCTGGACTGGGCTCTGAGCAACCTGATCTAGTTGAAGATGTCCCTGCCCATGGCAGGGAGGTAGGACTAGATGACCTTTAAAGGTCCCTTACAACCCAAACTGATCTATGATAAGAAGGGAAGGGACTTTCCACTTTTCCCCAGTTGCAAAAAGCAATTTAAGTCTGGACTTAGAACTATTATAAGCAACACCTTTTTAATGAATTAAGCAACCTGCAGAACTATTAAACACTTACCTAGACTTGTAGGTTTTATGAGCACATCAAGCACGTCGTAAAAAGGTAGGCTTTTCAGCTGAACATCGGGATGAACAGGTGGAATCGGAGGGGATGGTTGCTGCATCTCAAAGTGGGGCTTAGGGTCTTGGAGGAGCACGGAACTGACAGGCGAGGAAGGAGACTGAGGCGTGACTGAAGTAGAAGGGAGAGGGTGAATGCCAGCAACAGCCAGGTCAGGCTCCACAGGCGAGGAACTATTGTCCAAATTGAAAACAGCAGGTTTTACAGCTGATAAGTCTGATAGTCCTTCAATCGTCCTTGGGTACCGACGCCTATAGAGTTCTCGGATTTTTATCTGAACTGCTGGGCTGCAGCCGGTCTTCAGTAAGTGCAGTGCCCTCATCAGGAGGTCATGTTTCCGCCCACTTTTATTACGTCCAGCAAACCCCAACAACACTTGCAGTTCAGAAACACGAAAACTTGATACCATATTCTAGAAAAAAAGAGACATAAGCACAGGTGAACCAACAGCACCCCAGGTAGGCCCTTCTGAGAAGCATGGTGAAGCATCTGAACTTCCATCATTCCACTTTTACACCTGTCATCTTGGATACTCCCCATACCCTTACCCAACACAAGAGTATAGTTAGTTTAAAGTGAAGAATCAAAATAACCAAACTCAACCTTCATTCTGGACATGTTATTGATTTTAAAGACTTCTAATTTTTTTTTTTCCCACACACAAAACCAGCAACAACAGCACCAAAATCTTAATGCAACCCATGCAGCACTGTCTCAAATTCGCTGACAGAAGCATAAGCTCTAACAAAATGTCTCACTTCATAAAACAAAACAAAAAAAACCAAATTAATCAGTATTATCACCTGTCCTCCAACACATTTTAAGAAATAAAATAAGCAACTGTTTAAGTTCTGCAGTTCATTCTGAAGCATCCTTTGTCTTATTCAGCATGTTAAATGCATTCATGAACAGACACAGGCTCATCAGGTTTCACTCTTGAAAGGATGGCACAGCAAGGTGGACACTTTTTAAAAAGCTACATTATTTCATGGTAACAAACTCTTTAACCAACATGCTCAATTCTTCCAGAACGTGACAGAAAACTTCCTGTCCTTTTTGTATCATATTCTGGTATCATGAGACATGGAAAGATCTCTTCAAAGTAAATGATACCGTTTACTTGATTATCAGAGTTAGTTCTGGAAGACTGAGGTTTTGAATTATGAAGTTCATAAACAGAAAGATTATCATTTAAAGAAAAAAAGGCCACTATGCAAGAGGAAGCACTCTTTTCTCCCCATTACTACAAACTAGTAATTTGGCACAAGTGCATCACCCTATATTTTTGTGAGCAAGCTCTCTTTTCAGAAGTATAAAGTTGTCCAGAATTCTTCTAAGCAATTTCCTTCTTATTTCTGTGGGACTCTTCCACCATAACAAGGAGGTTAAGTTTTAAAGATGAAAGAACATCTGACTTTAATCTGTACTACCATACCATACCAACTCCAGACTTGAGGACTGGCAGATGAGGGCCCTAAAAGAAGGTAGGAAGTAGTAGACATCTGGGATCATTAAGTGATACTTTTAAAAACAATTAAAAAGTGCACTGTTGACTTTTAAATACTAGTCCAATACACAATATTTAAAGCTTTGGGCATTTGTGCTTTGTGTTTACCTTCTAGACACCAAAACAAGGTCCGAACTCCCCTTGCATACCCAGCTGGTTGCTCCCTGTTCTCTCCTTAATCTTGAGAAAATTGCTTTTACAATAAAACAGATCAGGGAATTAAGCCAGATGAAAACGCAACTTGTGCCATTACAAGACAGCAGGAGCAAGTGACCAGGACCCATGTTTTCAAGGGCCACATCAATTAATGTATATCAAAACCACTATCTAAAATATTATGGTAGTGCTCTTATCAGGCACACCTTTTCCTCATTGTCAAGGTTAATATATTTCAGATATTGAATTTCACCATTTCCAGAGACAGCCAGTTTGGGTACAGTGAAGCTTCTATCAAGCAGCTATCAGGGAGCTAACATAGCAGTCTTCAAACTGGTATTCCCCAACCACCTCATCTATAAACACACCAAGAATGCAATGGACGGTGAAATCAGTGTCACAAGGCACTGAATGGCTCACCCTAACCTCTGAAGAAAAGCCCAACAGCAGATGTCACCTTAATTTGATCCCAGCAACTTTTCTCAATAACAAAACAATACAAGAAAAAAGGAGACAGAGACAGAACTCCATCCAGTTTGCAAGCTGCTGGAGGAGGTTAGTTTCTGTCTGTCCTTCTCTTGCTACATCCCCTTAGCCTCACAGTTGAGCAAGGTGAAAAAAAAGTGTTTCAGTATTCATAAAAAATAGCTTGAAGGACTACAACAGCTTTATAGTCATGCCACATAAGAGAAGCTGCGTTAATTGTAAAAGATAATACTAATATTCAAGAATTTACTGAGAACTTCATGTTGCATGAGCTTGATAGCAGTGTCAGCTCCATTATTTCAGATGCAGGCACTAAGCACAATTCTGGATTCCATAATCAGAATGCAAATGAATAAAATCGTTTACATTGAAATTAAGGAATTGCATGTATTGCAAAATACTGCCTATTACCCTGCCTGCTGCCTTTTTTCCTGCAAGTTAGTCAAGGTGAAATGTGCAGTCAATCACACCTTGAAACAGCTAACATTTTACACAGAAATTCCACAAACTAGCATTGTGTTACAAGATGGATTCATTTTATTAGAAGACAGGCTGGCTTCAATAGCACAGTCAGCAAAATTTTTAAATTGACACCTCCATTAAAAATGCTTGGGAGCATAAAAAAAGACATTTTTGTCCATTAACGCAAAAATCTTACCGCTGCTTTTGAAAGGAGTCTTGCAAAAGTTGAGTTTTACTGGAAGTAATTAAACAATGGCTTTTGCAACATTTTCCCCCTAAAGCCGATTCTACATTCCCTTTAAGGCAACAACCACCACATACATGAAAATGCAGCTAGTCTGATCTACACAATTTAACTTATTACTCCATTTACAGATATATCAAAGTGGACACTCGTTACAATCAACAAGGTTTTACTAAGGCATAACACATGCTGAGGAGCATTTAAAATCACGGTGCAAGACAGATATTACTTCCAAGAAACCCTAACAAGTTATTTTCTTTTGAGATTCCAGCAATATTGCAGAAGACTGCAGCCTAGCTATTAACATGCTTTTCACATCACTGAATTAAGATTAGACATTCAAGTTGTGTGATCTATTAGGTTATGATCTGTGTTAAAAGAAATGGAGAAGAGCTGCTCTGATGCTGCTGTGCTGGAGAAAACTACACCAGCTATGGCCCAGAAATCTCCCTTCTCAAGGACCCTTCTTGCAGTTTATCTATGAAAGAAATGGGACAGTGATGGGACAGCTGTGTGACAGAATTCACCCTCAACCCTTCACAACCTTGAGCTGATAGCACAACAGGGTGAATACACATTAAGCTGCTCTGTTAAAAAGAAAAACCTACTGAAGTAAAGTTTCTGTCATCTATGGCAATTTATCAGACTATGCTAAGTCTGGGCAGAAAAGGGTATTTGAAAGGCCAGTGTTCACTGTTACTTGGTTGTAAAATCAGAGACGAAGCAAAGATAAGGGCACTTGAATTAAGCAGTCTCATTACGAGTTTGATTTGGCATTTTTAATGTTCATGAAGCACTACTGACTGAATTGTAATCTGTGTTGCAGTTTTTTAAAATGTCTGAAAGTACGTAATGATATAACTTCCAAGAAAGATGTGACAACACAAAACAACCTCTCTCCAGCAAACACAGTTGAAATGCAGAGTAGGAAAGAAAGGGCATGATGATGTTCCCGTGCTGAGCTAGCGCCTTCCTTGTGCACCGTGCAGTGCCTCCTCAGGCAGTATGGCATTGCTGTATAACTGCACAGCATTGTACAACATCACAACTAAATCATACACTGAGACCAATTTTAGCATTTGAAAGCACACACATTAGGAGCTTACCATTAGTATTTACAACCCTTGTATAGTTGAGGATATTGTGAGTGAAAAGGTGAGTATGAAAGGATTGCTCTCACAATGACAGAAATGCCATAGGCCTGCCTTGGGTTAAGGACATGTTTAAATGCTAACCTGTAGAGTATAACCTAAACCTATCCTCCCTTGCTTCTCCCTTTACACTTCATTCAGTACAGGTGCTTGAGGTAAAGAAGAGCTGAGTGGTTCAGCTGAGAGACTGTCAATCTGAATTTCCCCTTCAGGCTATAGGACAAGGCTCCTCTGCTTAAAGAAGTTTTTGAATGATGTGATCTTATATTGTTTTGAGACAGGGGGGTTTAAAGTTAACAAGGGATCAAAGAATAACTGATTAAGAATAGCTGTTCAGACAATATATGATTAACATTTGCTGTGCTTGCGAAGAAGACAGGATGAGAGGATCAAAACTGTGATGATAAGGGAAGGAACTGCTAATCAAAACGAGATGAGAGAATGCAGCACCCACAAGACCGCGAGATAAAGGAGACTCCTCGGACCCCTAAAAAACTGACTGAAAACCAGCCTGGCCCTTTGGACAGACTGCGGCAAGATGAAAAAGTTCAACTCCAAGGCAGACTCGTTTTACTTCATCCCGTTGACCACCTTATGACCACCAGAGAGCACTGCGCAGGCACAGAAGGACTCTTTAGCTAATTATAAGAAACAGGGCTAGGAAATGAATATGAATAAATGTATTGCGAAACTTAATGAATACGCAACGTTTTGGGGAATAAACAGAGGGACAGGTTTTGTGGAAAGGCGTGCCTGTTGGTAGAGCAGATGCTCCCCTTGCGCCCAGCACTGCTTGCTTATTCTCCACCTACAAACGAAATAAAAACTTTAACTTTTTTTTAAAGTTGTGAAAGTGCCTTCATTGATAACAAGTTGTGTCATGTAAATGCCATCAATTTTCTCTTAAGAGAAGTTCTTTACAGCTGCATAGCCTAATAAAAAGCTTTTTAAACACAGAAGACCATGTTTCTCCATGAACACAAAGAGTAGTTTGACACAACTTTAAGGAAGGAAACTGAACCGGATAATTCAAGTACTTTTATATTCCAGAAACATTCCCCCCCACCCCCGAAATTCATACTTGAAGGTCATAAGAAGTTCTACAAGGTTTTTTGTTTCTTATTGTTTAACTATGGCAACCATGATTCATAAGCAAAAACACCGTTCTAAAGCATTAAGCTGTAAGTGTATCTGGAAAGGAATTAATTTCACAGGGATGATGATGTTATGGAGTCCAGGAAACGCTGACACGCTGCTGAAATTAAGGGCAGGCATGTTTAAGAGCAAAGTAAGGGATCAAATATATCTCTCAAACAAGAGGTACGTGATTCTCCACGCTCCCCCTGCCAAAGCTACCTGCAATTTTGACATGTACAAATGAAAGGTAACCAAGAACACCTGTTAAATTCTTGACATATGTCTACAATAAGCTATACTTGAACCTGAAGAAGCAATCCAAATCGACTCAAAAGTTCTAGTCAGCCTCTACCTAAGAGCTCTGTTCCAGACCCACTGGCTTCCACATGTTTTCTGAAATGTCTGAAGGATATGCAGGGAAGAAATGCACCAAGGACCAACCCCACAAATCCTCACTCCTGACTTTAAGCACTTTTCTGGACATCCATAGCAGAGAAGAACATTTGTGACATTTTTTGCAATACATTTGCATACATGCTGATTTACATCAGGCTAGAAATGTGTAATACTGGTATGAAAGAGCAACTGGTGTCTTGGGATAGTTGAAGACCTCTATGCTGACCTTAAATGTATTCTGGAAACTGATGTAACTACAGATTAAAAAACTACAAGTCCTGGGAAAGGATGAAGATGTCACTAGTTAAATCTGCATAAGTAGTACAGCACAGGAAGAGCAGCTCTGAAGAAGACAACAGTTGGTGCAAACAGCATGGCCATCAGGCCCTCAGTATTACAGGGATTTTTTCTTTGACCTAACTAATTTGGCTCCCAAATTAAGCGTTAGCCTTCAAAGTTGCACATGCTTAACGTAACAGAAAAAAGCCCAAGTCAAATACTTCTGTCCATTTCACGTAAGATGCTCAAAACAGAGCTCTACCAATTTCATTGCAGACTGCTTTAAGTACCATAAACTACATTATCTCCTTCCTCTCCCCCATCACTGTATCTCAGCACATTCATTAATTGTTAATTATTTAAGATACAACAAGCTTCTAGGGTACCACAACAAGCCTTACCAGTCTGAGAAACTGACTACACATCTAGGAAGAACAGGGGAATTACATACAGATACAAGATAACAGTATATTAACATAGGTTATTAACAGTATTTTACCACAAGTTCTCTTATTAAATACACTCAATGTTAATTACAACCTGAAGATCACTACATCACCAACAGAAACTTCTTAATATCTATTCTGCCCACCACTTTAAGTTTACCCAAGATAAAAATGCAGAATTCAATTTCTACAAACCCCCAAACTGGGCAGCATATAGAATACAACGTTACTGTATTAAAGGGGGCTACAGGAGAGATGGAGAGGGACTCCTGATCAGGAGGTGGAGGGATAGGACAAGGAGTAAATTTTAAGCTGAAAGAGGGGAGATTTAGATGAGATTATCAGGAAGAAATGTTTTCTGTGCAGATGGTGAGGCAGTGGCCCAGGTTACCCAGAGAAGCTGTGGATGCCCTGTCCCTGGAGGGGTTCAAGGCCAGGCTGGATGAGGCTTTGAGCAACCTGGGCTAGTGGAGGGTGTCCCTGCCCATGGCAGGGGGGCGGAACTCGATGACCTTTAAGGTCCCTTCCAACCCAAACTATTCTGTGATTAACAAGCTAAAATAAAACAGCAGACAACAGAGTGTTTATCAATGACCTTGAAGAAGACATGTGAAAATAGCTCTCAGGGTTTTCTTCTTGGCTAACAACTTAGCGCTAAGCACTGCTTCAACTGGTAAACAGGCAAATGCTGTCCATTCAGACTGGAAAAATAAAGCAAGAGGAGCAGAAAGACACCAAGTCTGGTATGAACGAGAAATCCAATACATACAAAATGAAACTTCAACTGTATTTTAATATGGAATTCAAACCATATTTCTCTTCAGATTTGAATCACATGACTTCAGTACTAGGTGTGGAAAAGTAAAAACTAAAAGCGCTACTTACTTTCAGCATTTATAAACCCCAATTTTCCAGTAAATTTTGTGTAATGTCCCCTTCCACATAGGGCATACGAGCACACTTCCATTTCTTCTCACTAAAATGATTTTTTTTCCCCACAATGACCACTAGCATCACACAAATTAGTTTTGGCACAGGCATATTTATTTGCCTATAAAGAGCATTTTTCTTTCCCCCATAAAGCTGAAATTAATGCATTACTTCAAGACTTGATTAAATACTAACTATGAGACTGAAGCTGTTATCTTCTAAACTAGGAATCTGCAATGTTTCAAGGATAGCATGCACTCTATATTACTTTTTTTCCAAATGAGAGTCAGGATGCTAGCAGAAACTTGAGACTCAAGAGATGTTCTCTGCCTCTCTAAGTAATAATATATAACCAATCCTCTTATCTGCAGTATTTTACTGGGATGCAAACCACAACTTCAAGACAAATCTCAGTGAGTTCAGAATTTGTTGGGAGCTGGAATCATTTTCTCACAGATGGCTCTCAGAAGGAGCTGCACTTCCCCACTCCTGTGACAAATTTTTCCAGAAATGTGTTCACATGCCATCTCTGGCCTCCACACCAGAATGCTGACTTCTGTTCCACATCCGTCTATGCCTGTGTAATTCTTCTGACATTCATGGGGCTGCTCGTGAGTGAGGATTATGGATAAAGGTTTGAGTTATGTTTAAAAACACATCTGTGAACAGCAGGTCTGGAAACTGTATCTCAAAATACAAGAAAGATACAGCTGTGCTCACCCCATCTTCTCAGCAACTCCCTAATATTCCAGAAACTCATAACCTACAGAATTCAATAAACACTACTAATTAAGGGTTGATTGGAAAGTCTGGAAGGGTAAGCCTTATACTGGACATTTTTACCAGTATCTTGAAAAGTAGTAACTGTGGTTACAGCTACTTCTGAAACCTTTAAACAAAACTGAAGATTTCCAAAAGGTGTGATGTAACAACCAGTTCCTTTGAAGTCTTTGTTTTCTTTCACTACAGCCTCTCAGTTATAACCCTTCAGTCATAGCTCCCCAAAACTTTTACTGTAAGGATCCACAGCATGGGAGGGGATGGTACTAACAAATATTAAAATAATCCTGTGCCCTGAGACTAGAAAAATGCTGCCCCTGTGTATTTCCCTCAAAACAGGATTTAAGAAAGAACTCTGACCTTCTGCCTCTAGTCAGGCCTTAAAAATTTACTAAAATTCAACTCTCCAAATTGTCCTAGTGGACTTTTATAAGGCAGGTAGAGATCACATACTACAGGAAACTGCAATCAACAAAAGAGCAGCAAACAATACGGCCATAAAAAGGTCCCGTAAGTTAACCTATAAAACAACAGTTTAAGATCACTCCTAAAGGTCAATTCATGACATCTACTGGGGGTGGGGGGAGCATCTCTCTTCTTTGGCCAAAAGCAGGAAGAACTGATTGTCTGAAAAAAACCTTGAACCTGCAAACAAAGTACCTGCTACTCAAGCAAATGCATCCAAATGTATCCTTTTTTTTTTAATTTAAAAAAAAGGCAGTAAAGGCCTTGAAGACATGAAGCAGTCTACTAAATCCTCTTCAAAAAAATATCCAGAGCTTTCCCAAAATGGACCATGAATTATTATGAGCTGGATGTTGAACAAACATTTAGAGAAGCTCCAGGCTAGCAAATTCATTTCACAGGCACTAGAGTTTACAAATAAGATGAATGGAAACATCAAAAGACATTTCTTCTGACTGTTATTTTTTTTTTAAATGACTGATACCTATTATTTCGAGCAATGAAAGGGTAGTCCTGTAGTTGGCCTGAAACCCAGTTCCCTTTTCCCCCCATACTTCCTGTGTTACTTTTGGCAAGCAACTCAGGTGCATATATAATTTCAAAGGTATGTAGTACCCAATTCCCAGACAGATTCTATCAATACTTATCCACATCTAGATAAGCAATTACAGCGCTTTGGAAAATACGCCTCACAGCTCTGGCTCAAGCCTGGAAGAAAAGAGCTACACAAAAGGAGAGTTATCTCTGCTACAAAGTTTACACTGGGGGGTTTAGCTCCAGCCTTTGAGTGACTTTGGAAAGAGGGCTGAAAATGAGTCAGGATATTAAACAAGAAAACATGTAAACATGTTTAAAAAAATAACCGTTTAACAACTTAGGAAAAACAAGCCAAGCCTTCTTAAGCCTAAGATTGAGATAGAGCACTGTTGTCCTCAAATAAAGAAACTCAGTTCTTTCCACAAAATTTTTATAAACAACCCCCTCTGCTATGCTATGGCCACTTCAGCCCAAGCAGTGTTAGTGCTGGAAGAAGCCTTAGCATAGGAAATTTTCTGGCAATTGCAGCGTATTTCCTACTGTTGGTCAGAATACAGTCAGTTCAGCCACCAGACCTTTCTCTAAAGCCTCACAGTGGTTCCTATTTAACTGGCTTTTATTCCTTCTGAAGGGATGCCTAGATCCAGGGCAAGGTGTGTGCTCAGTGTGCATGTACTATCCCCTCAGCACCACTTCTGCAGGTGTGGATGCTGCAGAAGGACAACATTCTCCTTCCAAACAAAGATACTCACGGATTGTTCAAGAAACACGAGTAAAATCAGAAACGATGTAGCCAGTTCTTTGTGTACACGCCTCAAAAAAATGAAAGGCCGCCTTCCCACCGAAAAATCTGTTACAGAAAGTCCACAAGTGCAATATAAAAGACATTCAACTGAAGAGAAAAACAAGTCTGAAAAGAAATACTGGATTTCACGCTTCGCAGGCATAGTTTTCCCGGCTGGAAAGGGGTTAATGAATTTACGAAAAATCAATAATTATTAATATTTTCGAAAATTCAGTAATTATTCGCCCTTCTCCCTACAGTTTCCAGTGAGTTTCCACGGCGCTGGGCCCTCCC